TTCATCTGTGCACACTCTTCCATTTTTCATCCCCTTAGAAGGTGATTCCAGGGAGGACCAATTATTGATGTACTTAACCTACTGGACACTCACATCCTTTCATTAGTTTGTCTGTGCTGGGGATAAAGCATTCCCCTCATAGAACTGTCACAACTAGGACCCCTAATCCAGTTTATTCCTTCTTGGTTTGGAGTGTAGAGTTGCTGCATTAATGGTGGAAATAAACAAGTTCTGGTGGGCAGGATCCTTTTTTCGTTGTTTGGAAATATAAAAGTAGATGAAAATGGAAACAGAATTTGATTCTATTTTGAACATAACAGCTATTCCTTCATCTCATTTTAGAAAAGAGCAAAAAGCATCAAACTTAAGTTTCTATTAGTATCTTTGCTCCATTGCCCCTTCTCCCAGTTCCCATGAGCTCTATTCAGTATTAAGCCTCGTAACCACTCTTGTTTTGGCATGATTTATAAAAGCAGGCTACTCCTTTTATGAAAATCACTGATATTTTATTATGTTCTGGCCAGAACTTAAATGAACATAAATAACCCAAAATTTCAGAAAAAATATAATTATTCATTTTAAAACTTTTTATTAGTAAGTTTTCTAGTAAATATATAAAAGTAGATAGAGTAGTGTAATAAGCCTACATATACCACCACCCAGCTTCAACGGTGGTCAATATATGACCAATATTGCTTAATCTGTACCCCAGCCCATTCCCCTTTGCCCAGGAATTATGGTGAAGCAAATTCTAGACATACCATTTCACTTGTAAATATTTCATTATATATCTCTTAAATATATAAGAACTCTTTGTACACTTAATCTCAGTACCAACACCTGACAAAATGAAGTTTCTTGATATCAAATATCTAATTAATATTCACAGTTCCTCAGTTATCTTATAATTTGTTTCTGTAATTTGTAAGTTTGAGTTGGCATTCAAATAAGGTCAGTATATTGGGGTTGGTTGATTTGTTTATGTTTTTTGACCTACAGTTCTCTCTACTTTCCCCTTTCTTTGCCATTTTTGTCACTGTTGCATTGTTATTGAAGAAAGTGGATCATGTGTGTTACATACTTTCCTATGATCTGGTTTTTGCTGATAATCTGTAATTTTTAAGGAAATAAGAGTAACAGGTATGTAATTATTTAAAACATGTTTTTAAGTGTATGCAAAGTTTTACTTCATGCCGAAAACTAGCTGTGGAGGTTAACAGGTAGGCAGGAAAATTCAGGCATCAGGTGACTTCTTTACGTTTTTATTCCTGTTTTTTCTTTTTGGAGGATATCTTGGCAGATTATAAGGAGAGGTGTCACTTACCCACTGCTGAAATGCACTGGGCTGGAACACGCCAGCCATTCTTCATCAACACCACCAAACAGTTATTTTGGGCAAAGAATTAGAAGAGCAGTTTTGTTGTTGTTGTTGAATCTACAGTGGGAAGCTGGGGTGATTGAATGTATGCCTCAAGTCCTTTGGCCTCAACACCCCTCTCTCCTTATTTGCTATGATAAGCATTCTCTTGAGGGCTATTCATTACAGTGGAAATATGATCGCAAAATCATCTGGGTTGGAAAAGACTTCCTGAGGTCACCTGGCCCCATCTGGCAACATTAATATGGGATTCCAGCATCAACTTTCCCAGAACAAGGCTGTTTGTTAACAACTCCCATATCTCAGATAAACCCCTGGTGCAGTCTTAGCCTGTTTTCTCTTTTGTCCTTCAGTGAAATACATGATTAAATTGCATGTCTTTCTGCTGTAGGAGTGTTACACAACTAGGACCCCAATCCAGACAATACACACATGTGGCTGTGCAGATCTTTAAGATTAATCTTGATTTTTCCCTGCTGTCCTCTATAGCACATATACCCTGAGACTCTATTCGACTATCTGTATGTAGTAATGGTTTTCATGAAAAATGTTTATATGGGTAAATTTTGAAATATGATGCAATTACGGCAGACTACACTTTTAAGCTACAGTATGTATGACGGTTAATTTTATGTGTCAGTTTGGTTGGGCCACAGAATGCCAAGATTTGTGGTCAAACATTATTTTGGGTGTTTTTGTGAGGATGTTTTTTAGATGAGGATAACATAAATCAGTGGACTTTGAGTAGATTCCCCACCATAATGTGGGTGGGCCTCATCCAATCAGTTGAAAGCCTGAATAGAACAAACAGACTGATCTTCAGAGGAATTTTCTGCTGCTCTCCTGGGTTTCCAGCCTGTCAGCCCACCCTACAGATTTTGGACTTGCCAGACAGCATAATGGCATGAGCCAGTTCTTTATGATAAATCAATCTCTCTCTCTCTCTCTATATATATATACACACACACACACACACACATATATATACACACACACATGCACACACACATCCTATTGGTTCTCTTTCTCAGGAGGACCCTGATTAATCAGTGTGGGGAAAAAAAAAAAGGCAAGTATATGTCCTCGATTTATCTGGCTCTTTTTTGAAGATGTGTTTTATATTAAAGAGATGCAAAGATCATTGGAGACACCATCAGCAAAATTGAGAGTCTGGCCACAACTCTTCTAGTAAAACCTGACTTTCAGTCACTTTCCCTTTTTAGCCTTAGTTTCATCTCTGTAAAAGAAGGTTGAACGAAGGGATTTCCAAGGTCTGTGATTTGCTGAAATGCAAACATGGAACATTTGAGCCAGCTGCTGAGAAAGTGTCTAGAGATAATAAGTCTGAGGGCTGCCCAAAGTTTCTCTTACGAAATAAAACAGCTGAGGGTGTAAAACAGTAGTGGTGGTGGAGCACAGGGAATAAAAAACCATGAACAGAAGGATTTCCTGTATATAAGGAAAATATACAGGAAAATGGATCACCCTGATTTATGTCGCAGAAGATTCTAATCAGTTAAATGTAAAACATGGACAGTAAATGCCAACAGGAAAACCTTTAGCTTTTGTGACTTCTCAGCTGAGGGCAGATAGTCTAACTTTGAGGGCTCTTAGGATCTGTGTCTGCACTGTACTAATTCTTATTTTGTGCAGGAGGAATAGGGTGGTGGTGGAGGATTGGCATTTGTGATAAGCTGAGGCCCTCAGGCCAAACTGAGGGGCCCTAACCCAACCGATGGACAGGAAATGCCTGACCCCAAGGGCATTTGTGCTATTCCTGGTCACAGAGATCGGAAGGAGCCTCAGACTGGTGCTGACCCGTGAGGATGCAGGTTGATTTCTCTGTTGCCTTGGTTTTGAGCCTTCTTTTTCCAACTTGGGCTTCCTTCTCCAGGGAAAAAAGCAGTAACCACAAGGCAGAAACCATATTATTTTAGCTCCTCTTGTCTGGAGAGTGGGCAACACTTAGGTGCAGTAATCTTTTGGCTGTCCCTGTCTGGAATTAATGTTCACCCTCATGCAGCAGTCTGCTACGTGGGTGGCTGGCATTTTGGGTTGGGCAGTCTGGGTTTGTGCTTGACAAAGCCAGCTGAGGGGAAGTTCGCCTCCACATTTGGTTGTGGACACATTCTGTGTAAGGTGCTTACCCCTTGCTCAGTAGAGGCATCCCCTGCAAATATGGCGAGGTGGCTTTCTTTGCCTTTTGGGTTCCTTTTGACCATAAACTTCCCAGTGAGGAGGCAGGACCCTGATGATCATATCCCCTGAGAGGCTAGCTGACTTTTCACCCAGTTGGTGCTGAAGATGGACGAATGATTAACCCCCTGGAATCTCTGGTTAGACCCCAGTTGTGGTCATGAGTTCAGCCTTTTGAACCGCAGGCTGAAATTGTTTTTCCAGCACTCTACCCAATCGGGTGTCCCCGCCTGGATTCTGCTAGGGAAGCTCTCCCTTGGGAAATAGTGGTGGGCAGGGGGGCGTGGGAAGAGGAGGGAGGAAGCCTCCAGCTGCTGCTGGCCGGCCCTGCGTCCCTCTGAGGAGGTAGGGAAGGGACCCTCGAAATGAGTGGGAGACAGGAAACGAGGTGCAGTCTGGAGGCCCGAGTGGGAGCAGCTCCTGGCCAGCCGCCCGCCGGGCCGCTTCCTTCCACTGACATGACAGCCCTGCCGGCCTGGCTCCCCGCCACCTGGCAGCGGCCGCCGCGGCACATGACTCTTCCGCCCTCTGCCCTGGGGGCTGGCGGGGCCCAAGCGGGGGCGGGGAGTGATCTGCTCTGGAACTGGCCGTCCCTGCTGGTCGGGGCTGCCAGGTGCGGCCCGCGCTGCTTCGCTGGGGACTGGCCTTCCTCTTCCAGTCCTAACTCGCTGGCTATTTGTCCCTTCTAGGAGCCAGCGGAGGGGAACACCCGCTGCCTCTGAGAGAGACGCCGCCTGGGGTTCAGCTTCTGTGGCCTCAGTGTTCTTTACATGTCAAATGGGTCACCCTGATTTACCTCTCAGTTACTGGAGTCAAAGGAGATGGACCCACTGCAGTGCATTGGAAGGTGCTTAGGTCCGCTCCAAGGCGACACCGCGTCCGCGGCACCATCCAGGCCAGGGGCCGCATGACCGCGTGGGGTCCGCGCAGAAGGCTGCCCCAGCGAGGCGGGAGCTGCGCCTCTGCTTTATCTTTTAAAGGCTGGGACAGACCTGGTACTATTTCTGGCCTTGGTTTCTATGTAAAATTCAGGAAGGCGGGGGAGATGTGTACACTCCTCTGCCCTAACCTCTTCATAGGAAGTTAGGTTAAATCCACAAAGTGGTGGGGCTCTTGTTCAATAGGGATAGATTTTACAAGTAGCCCCAAAGTGGGGGATTTGGAGAATGTGCCAATGAACTTGGTTTAAATTCTAATTCTGGCTCTGCTACTGGCTTCAGTTACCCTCCCCCATCTTCCCACCTCATTCCCTCCCTCCCTCTTTTTTTTTGAGATGGGGTCTTGCTCTGTTTCTCAGGCTGGAGTGCCGGGGAAGCTGGGGGCAGTCTTGGCTCACTGCAGCCTGGAACTCCTGGGCTCAAGTGATCCTCCTGCCGCAGCTTCCCAAGTAGCTGGGACTAAAGACATGTGCCACCACACCCAGCTATTTTGTAAAAAGTTTTTGTAGAGAAGGGACCTTGCTCTATTGCCCAGGCTGGAGTCTTTTTCTCTTTTTAGAGATACTTTATCACATTCACCTCTGCTCTGTAGCAGTGTCTTCAAAGTGATCTGATTTTTCTTTCAAGTGGGGTTGAGTTTGTCTAGAAGGCTCTTGAGCATTTTCCTGGTGATAGGCCTTACTTTTTTGACATGGAGGTAGGGGAAAGGGACATGAAAATATCACAAGTTCTAGAAACCAGGATTCGAGCAGTCTTGAAGTCGCCCAGTCCCACCCTGAAGTGATCTGCATCCAAGAAAAAGGTTTTGTGATGGTGGTGGTGGAATGTTTGGGGATTAAGAGTTTGCTGTGTGGATTAACAAGCTGGAGCTGGAAATGTCTAATGAAACTGACAATGATGCCTTCCTGGATCAGCTCACCTGTGTGTCATATGACAAGCCTGAAGAGGACTCAGGAACATTCAAACCCAACCTTCTCATGGAACAGAAGCCCGAAGGGGGCAAATGCTTCAAGTCACACAGCACAGTGGTTGTGTTGGCCAAAAACCAGAATTGTCTCCCTCAGTGATTACAACCAGATGTAGAATTAAGTTTTGTATGCCCACCACGCTATTGCTTTTCCCCCTTAAACTTCTATTTCTTCTTATTGGGGGAAGGAGAGCTCCCTTAGAGATGGTGTAAGTCAGAGTTTACTGAACCAGGCACCCACACCCTGTTTAGCTTTAGGCCTATACTCTGTTTACAGGATGGGCAATCAGCAGCTGAAAACTAACTGAATTTGGAATTAAACCTTTCTCCCTCTACCTAGCTCCTTTAAGCAACTAGACCCTCCCTGGTTCTTGAATCCACGTTGTGAGTTGTTCATTAATAGAACCTTTAGCAGCAAGGCTGGGGGAAGCTGTTTGTACTTGCCAAAGGCCATTCTCCATGAATGTAGTTGTGAATAGGTGACCCCCAATTTAGAATGGGGGTGTGTATAATTTTCTTAAGAAGTTGGTTGAAGTTTCACCATAGTTATAACTACCATTTATTGTGTCTCTAACATGCCAGCAGCTTTTATAAACATTAATTTCTGTGGCTTGAGAAACAACCCTGCAAGGTAGGAGGCAGCATCCTTGTTCTTATGGATGCAGAATCTGAGATTCAGTAAGGCTGAGAAACTTGTACAAGGTAAAGTGGCTGGCAAAGAGCAGAGGATTCAAACCCAGGTCAATCTGGTCATAAAATGATCACACTGCCCTGCTGCCCATTGGATATCCAGCTCCAGCCTTGCCTAGGAAAACATGTTGCTAGTTTTTGAGAGTGAATGGGAAAGGAGCTGGAACAAAATATGCCTGAATATCTGACACTTTATACCATGGTGTCTAGTGTTTTTGAATATGAAGTTTTCTAGACTGAGGTTATCACAACTCCTGCCCTTGTCTTCCTTTTTATTACTTCTAGAGTAATTGTAGTTTTAACATCTTCTATCATGTTAAAAACAAAGTTGGTTATTTTTCTGATTAAAAAATACCTGTTTATGTAGAAAATACAGATATACAAAGAGGACAAGTCTTCTCAAACTATATACCAGCTTCTGGTTAAGAACGTGTGTACGGGAGCTAGACTTGCAAGAGTATGTATCCCTGCTCTGCAGTTTATAATGTGTATGACTTCAGACTAGTCACTTCTGTGCCCGTTTCCTATCTGTGAAGTTGGAAATATCCTACTTCATTAGGTTAACATTAAATGAGTTAATAGCTGCAAAGCCCCCAAAGTGACCGAGATGTTTAATATTTTACTAAACTTCTGGTCTTCCTCTCTGATCTGTGTATACATGTGTAAGTATACATGTTAGTATGCATATAAGCCAAAATGAAATATTTTTCAAACCAGCTGCTTTTCATATAATTATATCGTGATCACCTTTCCTAACCTCTAAATAACCTTCTCCATTACCTGACAACTGCCTAAAACCCATGATGTGCTAGTGTGAATGGAACTGAATCCGTGTTACTGGGCATGCAGATTTCCAGATTTGCACTAACATAATGCATTTTTAAACAAATTTTAGTTGTTGTCCCATGAATGGTATCTGGGTGACAGGAACTTCAAGCTCTTTTCAGAGCACACCTAATCCTCCCTCCCCTAGTCTGAATGAAAATAAGGATCAGGAAGTACTCCCTTCGGAGCTCAGAACCTGCCTTAATTCTGAGGCAGCACTGTGAACTTTTCATATGTCAGCCGTAAGTGAGGAACTCACTCTGGCTCTCCCCTTTCCCTGCCTTTAAATCTAGACAAACCATGTTTCCACATTTAATATCTGATATCTCGGTTCCCAGTAAATCACAAATCAGAACGTTCTGTTGTTCCATTATTGCTATGTCTGAGGTGCCCCCTAAGAAACCTGTCGCTAAAAGGGCTTAGAAGTGAAGCTCTGCTCCCTGTTTCCCAGATTGGACTCCTAAATCCTGTCTCTCAGGATGGAGTACTGCAGTCCCTTTTGTGCCATGCTGGGCACTGTACATTGCCGTTTTAGTTTTATGAGTTTCTGATGACATGCTTATTTGACTTTATTGACACAGAACCCTCCTGCTGGTCTCAGATTGGTAGAAACCATTGATTGGTCCCCTCTTAACTCCCCCCGTCCCCTGCCCCCCGCCCTGCCAACGCCTGCAGTTTTTCACCACTAGCAAATCAATAGGTCATGTTTGATGACCCTACTCTTGCCTATCCACTTGCAGGCGTATTATATATGCAGACTCAAGGGATGTACTTGTCCATTGTGTCTGAGCTCCAAAGAGGCAAGAGTGATGGGCAGAAGTGATTTGGGATCAGTAGTCATGGAGTATACCTCTTAAAAGGTTTACAGCTTTAATGAGATTTTTCTCCTACTGTCTTAGACAAGAAATCTCCAAATGTTGGAAACTTGACATTTAAAACAGTATACATTCTAAAGGAATTCAACTGCATTTCAGGACCTGTTGACTGACCAACCTCAGACACAGTCATATCCTAAGACATTAAAGGAAAGGGCTCGATGTTCCCTCTAATTTAGGGAGTATATCATCATCTCTCAGAAAGAGTCTAATGTGGTGATGCATCTGCCAAAATTACAGAGCGGGTGGCACGTCTTTGGGGTGTGCTGGAATGGCATCAAGACTTAAGAGGAAAAATGTGTGTATTACATGCTTGTAAAACTCAAAGCATCAGTTACTCTCTGCAATATTTTCCAACGTGCTTTTTCATTAGTTTCCTTCTAACACCCTCCCTGTGAGAAAGGTTAAGTAGCATTACCCTTCTTCCACTCATGAGGACACTGGAACAATGAGAGGTTAATTGACTTGCTTTGGGCTCTCTACAGTGAGGCTGACCCAGCTGGAATTTCCAACTTCCGCTGCCTGGAACTCCAGCTTACCATTCCAAAGGCTCTGTAGAACCAGGGCCACCTCAGAGAAGGCCTCCGCAGAGGCAGGAAGAGCTCCCAGCCAAGAAAGGGGCATCTTGCTCAGCCATGTTCTTGCTGTTTGGGGACTGCTGAGGCAGAGAGTTAGTCTCTTCAAAGTTATAGTCCAAGATCCTCGACCTAGAAACTGTTTGGCTGCCTGGAGCTAAGCTGTAGGAGTGATGGATGGCAGAAATAAATTATTTTTGGCTCAACTGCTCAGTCTTGGCAGGGGGCCCTTTAAATTTGAAATGTTAATCCTGACATCTACAAAAGGCTTAGGAATCTGATGTCATTTTCTCCCTATGATTCACATGTTGGCCTTTTCTGTAGAGGGGTTACCAGTTATCTCTGGTGTATGTTCCTGTTAAGGGTTCTCTGCAATTCAGATGCTGTAAAATATGTAATTAGGATGATAGAGATGGCTTCTAATATAGAGGGTCCCCTGTACCTCTTCTTCCTGGCCCCACCAGGCCTACTTGAATCATCTTGGCTCACTCCTCCCTCCAAAGCAGATCCTTACTACAAAGCCAGGTTGGTGGTGCTATTGATAACATGGTCTTAGACAAGAAGTTACTATACTTGATGCTTCTGTTATCTTGTGTCTTGATGTACTTTTTCTCTGGCTCCTTAAATTAGCCAAAATTCTTGCATGATAACCAAAATACTTGCAAGGTTGCTGTGGGCTGGAGAACAAGCTTAATAAGAGTATGAAAAGCATGGAACTTTGAGGCAGCACAATTGCTTAATCCCCACTCTAGTGCTTATAAGTTATGTAGCCTTGGGCTAGTGGCCTCTTCTTTTTGAGTTTCGAGTTTTCTCACCTGTAAAAATGGGAACAGCTACTTCACTGTTAAACTATAAAGCCACACTAATAGACATCCATATCATACCCAGAAGATCAAGATTTGGTCCAGTGAGAGTTGGCATCCAACCTCATAGTGAGGTTGTCACTGTTCTCCTGCCACCCAGTCCACCCTCCTTTGCACTCACTTGTTTACTTTAAAATGTGGAGTGAAGTGGAGGTTTGCCATCTGGGGCTTGGAACTCTATACATTTTATTCGACTTGGAAATTAAGGCTAGACGTGGTGAGGGGATGAGACCAGACTGACATGACCTTTCTTTGTGTTTTTCTGGAGCAGGGATTCCTGGTCACCTCCCTTGCCCTTTTCTTCCTGGATGAAACAAGAAGATAATCAGGGTGTCTGTGCACACCAGGACTCAGAAGACAAAGGGATGGGTTCCGATTTTGAGGACTCTGAGGACAGGGAAGGGGACCCAGAAGAAAGAGAAATGGGCTCTAATCCACAGGACACAAACAAGAGAGAAGGCCATCTGGAGCCAGAGATGGGCTCCAACCCACAGGACTCAAGGCACAGGGAAGCAGTGCCTGACACCTGCACAGGTGAGGAGAAAGCTGGGATTTCCATGCAACTTGCCCCATTTACGCTTACTTCTAGCTCCTCTAGAATCCTAACCAGGGACAGCATTCTCTGTAAGGGCATTCCCTAGAGAGGACCATTCAGCGAGATTCTGTACTGACTTGCCTTTCTTGTGTTAGCCTGAAGAGATCCTTTTCTTCAGCCCAGTGTGAGGTGAGCTGTGAAGAGGCTCACTCAGTAGCACAGTACTTTACAGTGTAGAGAATGCAGCTCTAAATTAACCCCTGGAACAACACCACAGTAGAATTACCCAGGTAGTATTAGAATCTACCTCACAGGGTTTTGGGGAGTTAAATGAGTTGCTGTATGTAGAGTTACTAAGCACAGTACTGTGCAAATAGGAAGTATCCAGATGTTTACAGTTATGTTCTCATCTCCCTTTGCGATAAGTCAACTCAGTGGTGAGTGACCTGCCTAGGTTCATGTGGCTAATTCCCAAAGTGCCCATGGCCTCTGCTAAATGCCTTACTCTCACTGACCTGAAAGAGAGAATGCTGGGCCTCCACCCACCTCCTTGTTTCCGTCTTTGGGCATTCATTACTGCTCAGTGCATGCTCTGGGGACAGAAATGAGCTAAAATACTTTATGGCTAGGACTGCGAGGTTACATTCCTTCCCCTGTGACACAGTCCCAGACTCCCTGCTGCCCTCCTCCACAGTGCACACAAGCATGTGAAGGAGGGCACATGTGAGGCCTTTCACATCTCAGCATCTTCCCTCTGCTTGGGGATACACAGCCAGAGACCAACAGGTGTGTGTCCTGGACCAGCCTCTAACCTGGGCTCACCAGCTCTAGGTTCTGTCATCTCTTTCTCTACTCCCTACTACTATCCTCCTCCCCGACCCACAGTAAAGTCCTGAAGGTGAGTTCAGTTTTTTGTTCCACCATAAGCTGTTTCAGACTGACCAAATGTACTTTAAAAATTAGTCCAGGGAGCCGGGCGCGGTGGCTCACGCCTGTAATCCCAGCGCTTTGGAGGCCGAGGTGGGCGGAAAACGAGGTCAGGAGATTGAGACCAGCCTGACCAACACGGTGAAACCCCATCTCTACTAAAAATACAAAAATTAGCCAAGTGTGGTGTCATGAGCCTGTAATCGCAGCTACTCAGGAGGCTGAGGCAGGAGAATCGCTTGAACCCAGGAGGCAGAGGTTGCAGTGAGCCGAGATCGCCCCACTGCACTCCAGCCTGGACGACAGAGCAAGACTCCGTCTCAAAAAGAAAGAAAAATAAAAAAAAAAAAAGAAAAAATTAGTCCACGGCCTGGTTAGGCCAGGTGGTCTTTCTCAGGTTGGCAGACTGTTCTTGTCTTTTGAGACTAGAATTTTAAAAGGCACTGGTAGCTCTTGGAGTAAACCTTTTCTCCTGAGCTCTTAGGGAGTGTCCCACCTGGCACAGACTTGACTATCCTGAACACAGGCAGTCAGGCCTTCAGATGGCTCTGCTAGGCAGTGCCTCGGGTCCAGCTAGTGGGGCCTGGGCCTGAGGCAGCTGCCTGAAGAACTGGTGGGCAGAGGAGTCAATGAGTGCACTTTCCTTTAGGCCTTTCCCTGCAGGATCCAGTTGCGAGAGGCTACACTCAGGGGGCCTTGAAGGGGCAGGGATCCTAAGTGCCTGGGGGAGGGGATCACAGTTTTATTACTGAGGTTTCCTCTGGGCTTACCTTTTGAATGCCAAATATCGTAATCCCCCACTGCCACCTTTTTCTGTTGCAGGGGGGCAGCTGAATGAGGAAGAAGGCGTTCCTGTCCATGGGGAAGAGGATGCCCAATCTGGTGTAGCTGATATGGCGATGTTCCCAGGACTGTCTGAGTCTGACAGCATATCCCGGAGCCTCCGGGAGGAGGACGAGAGTGCTGGGGAGAACCGGCTGGAGGAGGAAGAGGAGCAGCCGGCCCCTCCCGTACTTCCCTGGAGGCGACACCTCTCCCTGGGGAGTCGGCACCGAGGTGACAAGCCCGCCCACCGCCGCTTCCACCGGCTCCACCACCCCATGGCCATGGACCTCGGGGAGCTGGATAGCCTGGTGGCCAGCATCATGGACGCGCCCACCATCTGCCCCGACTGCGGGGAGAGCTTCAGTCCGGGCGCCGCCTTCCTGCAGCACCAGCGCATTCACCGCCTGGCGGAGGCCGCTGCCGCCGCCAGCCTGGAGCCCTTCGGCCTGGCGGGCGAGTGCGACGCGATGGTGGGCATGATGGGGGTGGGTGTGGCGGGGGGCTTTGGGGCCGGGCCCCCGCTGGCCCGGCCACCGCGCGAAAAGCCCTTCCGCTGCGGGGAGTGCGGCAAGGGCTTCAGCCGCAACACCTACCTGACCAACCACCTGCGCCTGCACACGGGCGAGCGGCCCAACCTGTGCGCCGACTGCGGCAAGAGCTTCAGCTGGCGCGCCGACCTGCTCAAGCACCGGCGCCTGCACACGGGCGAGAAGCCCTACCCGTGCCCCGAGTGCGGCGAGGCCTTCAGCCTCAGCTCGCATCTGCTGAGCCACCGGCGCGCGCACGCTGCTGCCAGCGGCGCGGGGGCGGCGGCGCTGCGGCCCTTCGCCTGCGGGGAGTGCGGCAAGGGCTTCGTGCGCCGTTCGCACCTGGCCAACCACCAGCGCATCCACACGGGCGAGAAGCCGCACGGCTGTGGCGAGTGCGGCAAGCGCTTCAGCTGGCGCTCGGACTTGGTGAAGCACCAGCGCGTGCACACGGGCGAGAAGCCCTACATGTGCTCCGAGTGCGGCGAGACCTTCAGCGTCAGCTCGCACCTCTTCACGCACAAGCGCACGCACTCGGGTGAGCGACCCTATGTGTGCCGCGAGTGCGGGAAGGGCTTCGGGCGTAACTCGCACCTGGTGAACCACCTGCGTGTGCACACCGGCGAGAAGCCCTTCCGCTGCGGCCAGTGCGAGAAGCGCTTCAGCGACTTCTCCACGCTCACGCAGCACCAGCGCACGCACACGGGCGAGAAGCCTTACACGTGCATCGAGTGCGGCAAGAGCTTTATCCAGAGCTCCCACCTGATCCGCCACCGCCGCATCCACACGGGCAACAAGCCGCACAAGTGCGCGGGCTGCGGCAAAGGCTTCCGCTACAAAACGCACCTCGCGCAGCACCAGAAGCTGCACCTGTGCTAGGGGCTGGGTCCGAGGGAGGCTGCCCTCTGGGGAGCCTATAGGGGGTCGATGTCCTGGGACTGACCCAGGAGAAGGAAATGGGGAAGGGGCGGGAGGGACAATCTGAGAGTGACTGGGGAGCCTTTGGTGTTCGGGGTTTCCTGAAGTGGGAGGAGGGTTGAGTAAGAGTTGTTCTTTCCCGGTGCTATACTTGCCTCCTTTCCATGGAAGAAATGTTCAGGAGATGCGCTTGGGATGATGACTTCCTTAAATACATGCTGTAGGGGGTGAAGAGCTTGGAGGACCAGGCGCTTTGAGGACCTTGAGGAAGGGCAGTTCGTGGGCTGGGGTGGGAACAGGATGGCAGGCAATAGACTAGGGTAGGCCGCGATGGCCTGTAGGAGTCTGCAGGGAGAGGGTGTAAATGAGGGCTATGGGGCAAAATAAAACCAAGTATAAGTGATTCTATCTTGGTTCCACGAAGTGGTAAGCCAGAGTTTGCCCGGTCTCCGCACATCACCTGTTGTCTCACAAAAAGTAGGGGAACCTTGTCACATAGGAAAGGATATTTAATGTACTTTTCCTTTCTCTGAGCCACAGTTAGCTGCTATTTTGAGGCATCCAAGGGAAAGTGGGCTGAAAAACGCCGCACTCTCATTTCAAGGGGCAATGTCTGAGGTTTACAAATTCATTAATAACTGGTTCTCAGATGTGGGAAATCCTGATTCTGTTCCGGGTTCTTTGCTACTTCCTTGAAAATAATCTAGCTTCATGCTGGGTCAAGGTGGTTTACCTGGATGACCCCCCTCCCCCGCCCTCGCCCCATCCCAGGTGTGTGCCACATCCAGTATTTCTTTCAGGTCTCAACTGTGGTCTTTTAAGTGCAGAGAAAAGGAACAATCACAGCTATGCGTGACTTTCCTTTTTGCACCTCACCCTGATGTAGATGTTTCAAGTGAACTTTAGACCATCAACAGTTGCCCAGTGACCTGCTAAAAAGTCAGCTAGCTCGCAGTTTTGCTGGCCTTTATGTGAGAAATCCAGGAAAGTGTTGACATTGTTGGGATGCAAAACTCCTTGGTCTCATTTGCCTTCACTTAGCATTTGTTAGTGACCTCCACTAACCCCCACCTCCGTGCATATGAGGGATCTAGTCTAAGTAAGAGTGTCTTTTTCCTGCATGTGGAGGCACAGTAGAAATCTCAAGGCTTTACCCAGGAGAACCCAGTCAGAGAGAGGTGTAAATGCAAAATTGCCAAATAGCACAAACAATGAATGTTTTCTGGTTGTTATATAGATGCCAAAATAGCACTTTGATATTTGCAAAGTGCTTTATGCTTTTTAATAATTGTTAGTTGTTTCTCACATCATTGTGAGTTAGATCAGTATTATGACCCCTGTCTTAGGGAAGGCCTGGGAACAGGAGCGTGCAGGCTGTCCTGCAGAGAGGCTGAGGACAGTGTGAATAATTGTAGCCTGACCTTTTGCATCCTCCAGCTCAGCTGCTAGGAAGACTTGCCTGTCATGATTTATATAATAAAATAAGGACACTGAAAATTCTTATGCTTGATGAAAAACTTAAGGCTAGCCTAGAAGGGCCAAACATGTCCTTATTGACAAAGCTGGTCTTTGTCACCTCATTGGGGCATCCTAGCCATGTTCCATTTCTAGTAGGGGGCTGTAGTTAGATGACTCTTGTGTAGATTTCAGTTATTTATGCTGAAGATCCCTGCCCTAGGTTAGCCTTTAGAAGTTAGAGTTGTGGAAAGCGGTATTGTTTTCTTCACTAGTGATTGTTACCCTACACATTTCATGGAAGCATCTTCACAAAATATTGGACACAGTTGAAGGGGGAAAAAGCTACAAGATTGTTTTTACAGTTTTAGCAAAGTTTCTGTGGATGCTAGTAATTTATACTTGATCAGTTGTATTCTAGTAAAGAACCTCTTTGGGGACTGTAGGAAAGCATGTTTTTGTGGTTATAAAAACACTTAAAAATCCTGATAATTCTGGGCTTGTATAATGCCTGTTGATCTTGCCCTCTGAATCAATTTATTGTTATTCACAAATGCAAATAGGTTTTCAAACTATAGACAGTTTTGAATGACATTAATTCTCGTTTTCTTTTAGTCAGGAGTAATACAAGCAAAGCAAGTGTCCGTTTTGAATTCTGATTTTAATCTGAATAGGAAGCACATTAGACCCACCTGAAAATAATATAGCCAATTTTTAGGTAATCTTACTGCTTTGTGAGTTTCTTTCCATGTATATCTACCTCTTCCAGCTGTTTTAAGTTCTCTCAAGTCTGTGCCTATGAAATCTCATCCACCTTTTGATTATTCATGGATTGATTATCCGTTTTATTGTGGTTTTTTTTTTTGCTGCCATTGCTATGCCTGGTCTTGTCTGCATCAAATATACTACATATCAGCAACTTTAGAGAATGGGTTCAACAGGGAGTGGAGAGTGAAGCTAATGTAAAATAGTTTAGTGGCAGTGGAAATCTTTGGACTTCGTTTACCTCTCTCGTTATTTCTATTACCATGGATAAGAGAGTCAGCTGCTACTTTGATATCCCTTCTATGAGCAAATTCTTAGCAGAAGAAAACAATCCAACTACCAACGCCCGACTCTATTGGTGCATTTAAAATGTGATTCCATTTTTTCTTACAGTTCTTCAGGGAACTTATCTGCATTAAGTGAGGTCAAATGCATTCAGGAGGTTGTTTCTTCTATCTAGTTTTAGAATAATATTTCTTTGGCAAACCCTGTTAACTGCGGTTCACCCTTGAAAACGTTAATCTGAGGACTTTTTCCACCAACTCGTTAATGATGGTGGAAGCAAGTGTATTATTTGTTTCCTGGAGAATTTGGTGAAGAGCAGTCTTCTGCTGCTGCTCTTTACTAAGCAAAACCTGGAGCAGTTTAAATAGGCTAAATGGTTTTGATTAAATCTTGAGCTCCGAGTTGGAAGGAGAAAATGAGAAGTTAACCCCTTGAGCCATGTGGTCTCTTTACAATCAAGAGACTGTACATATGTGAAAAAATACAAATTAAGGAACTGTGTTCATAGACAATCTAAACTGTGTTTCTGAAGTTTGTGCACATTTTTCTTCACTGTAATGTTATTTTACAGCTGTTTGTTAAAATAGTGAATAATTTAATGATCCTAAAAGTAACAGGTTTTGTGTGAGTGTGCTTGTATATGTGAGAATTGCCTTATTTTCAGGTTGTTTTATTTAATGATGGTTCCTTGGACAGCATTCTGGTGTTCAGCAACCAATATGGAATATTTGTCATTAAATCCATATCAGTCTTTTACCATGTCATTCTTCTTTGACACACATTAAATGCCACTCAGCTCTACCTATGGAAGCTATGTTCCTGTAGAACAAGGGTTGACAAACTACCAAATCTGCCCTGCATATTTTTGTACCTAAAGTTGCGTTAGAATACAGTCATACCCATACCCAGGCACATTTGCATAGTATCTGTGCTACTTCACCCTGAATTTGCTGTGAGTGGGCCTCTGCCCACATTCCAATTAGAAAAACTGTACCTGGTCAACCTGGAATTCTTGAGGTTTGATTAGTTTAAGCTACAGATTTTCTTAACCTTGGAGAGCTTTTTGGATTGTTTGCCTTTTAAATGACGAAAGCGATTAATTGGAGTGAGGCCTAAGTTCCTGTAGTTTTATAGAAACTCCCCAGGCGATTTTAATGGGCAAACAGGGTTGAGAACTCTGTAGGACCAATTAGAGACCCCCCCATTCTTTCTTGGGGATTACAGTAAGTATAATAATACGTAAGGCTCAAATCTTCTCCTCTGCTGGGAGGTATGGAGGCAAAGGGCAATGCAAGGTGCAACATACTTTGTTTGCTCCTGGTGGGCCACCTTTCACACAGCTGCTCCAAATCATGACTATAATAAGTAAGAGCCAGGAAAAGTGCCTGTCTTGGCTGTCCATCCGATGACAATGGAATAAGTGTGGAAGGCTGCTGCTGGCCTTCACCGTCTTCGCCATTCAGCCAGCCTTCTTCCGCTTCTCTGAGATCTTCATTCCCGCAACTCAGCTCACTTAATAAAGCAAAACCCCAGGCATGACTCCTTTGCTCAGCTGCCCTTGGCATTCACATAATTTCCGTCCTCTCTGCCCATGTGGGAGGGGAGGAGCACAGCTGGCCAGTCTCCAGCACGAATTGCCTAGTGCTTGCTCCTCTCTCCCTATCACAGCTGCAAGTACCCCGTAGAGTGCAGATTTCTGCTGCTAGACTGTGGTTTCAAGGTCATCTCTGCTAACCCAAAGCACATTCCAATGGGTTTCAATTTCCAGCTGCTCCCTTGAGATCCAGGCCACTGTTCACAACGCTCTCTGCATCCAGCTGGTGCCCTGCCTCATTCCAGCAGTCGGGAATGCTCAGCTTTGGAAGCCAGTGAGGTGGGCGGCAAGGTGTTCCATGTACCACGTTGCCCCATGATTTTAAGAAAGTTGAAAAAGGTGTCTGTACGTGCAGTGTTCTAGTTGGCATTCCCACACATATATTTGAAGGATTTCCAACCTGAGTAAAGGAATTGCCAGACACCAATTCCTGGAGACCAGGGATTCACTGGAAGCAGTTCCATGCATTCTTTTATTCACTGAAGACACTCCACTGAGATGCTTTTCTGAAAGCATCAAGGGCTGAGGTAGGGAGTGGTTCTACCTGGGTGTTCTTGTTTTGTTTTGTTTTTTTTGAGATGGAGTCTCCCTCTCTCGCCCAGGCTGGAGTGCAGTGGCATGATCTCGGCTCACTGCAGGCTTCGCCCCCCAGGTTCACGCCATTCTCCAGTCTCAGCCTCCCAAATAGCTGGGACTACAGGCCCCTGCCAGCACGCCTGGCTAATTTTTTGTATTTTTAGTAGAGATGGGGTATCACCGTGTTAGCCAGAATGGTCTCGATCTCCTGACCTTGTGATCCACCCGCCTTGGCCTCCCAAAGTGCCGGGATTACAGGCGTGAGCCACCGCGCCCAGCCCTGCCTGGGTGTTCTGATACCATCTGTGTATGACTGGCCTTCCACAGGCCCCAGGGCTGTGTCTCATTAAGAGCAGAGACCCTGGGAATTTCACCCCTTAGCTGAGTGGGCAAGTGCCGGGCATAGTGCTCAGTGCTAGGGAGACAGGCATGAGAGAGGTACAGATGCTTACACATTCCAACACCATTTAAGGGTGAAGGTGAAGGCTGATTTTGTTTCCTGCATGCCTAACCTGCTTGGGGTGAATTATTTTGCCAACTATAAGTATGACTTTAAGGATTTGGCCTCTGGGGCTGCAGGGGGTGGGAGGTGGACAGGGGGGAATTTCATGTCAAGGCTTCACATGTTATGCTAGGGCAAGATGGTACATTCAACAAAGGCTCAGCGTTAAGCAGATTCTCTGCCAAGGACTCTGGAACTCTAAGTCAGAGTCCCCACCGCTGCTGCAAATCAGGCAATGTCCACTTTAGCTGGCTTTGTTGGGTGAGGGAAAGGACAGTGTGTGACCTTGGAAAAGCTAGCTCACTTTGTCAAGGGGCTGGAAAAGGATCTGGCTAGACATTTCTCTTGTCAAGAGTAGCATTAGCGATTGTCTGAAACAAGGGTCACTTCAAGGTTTCAGCTGAAGTAGCTCTGCTGATTTCTGGGTTGAAGTTAGTAGATTTGGTGGAAATCACAGACATGACTTCACAGCCAGAGATTCCCTGGACTCACACAGCCACTGTTCAGTGCTGCTGCAGCCTAGACCAAGCCCTATAGGTATTCTTGATCTTGCTCTCATCTGTGCAGTGGAAAGATGCAGGTATAAGGTGTGGGAAAATCAAACAAAATGACAAACACGAAGGCTCTTGTAAGATTCAGGGGCTTGTGTGAATGTTAGGAAGCAAGGTGGTTACAAGGTGTTCCTGCTCAGTGCTGCAGAGAAGGGGCTGCTGAGGGGCATCCTAAACTCTTGTATCATAGCTCCTGGGATCCCAGAAAGAGGAGAGAGGCAGTTGTGGTGCATATGGACTGTATCTTCTGGGATTTCCAGCTCCTGGGGCAGGGTGATGAGGGAGTGACAAGGCGTGGCCTCCCTTTCCTGAGAACACGAAGAAAGAAGTAACTAGTTCTGTATCTCCTTTGAGGGTGTGCTGTGAGTGGAGTGTGCAGGGCAGAGCTTTGGCATGAACTGGCAGTGGTGTTGAGCAAAGCATGACTTTCTGGGTTTCTGTTTCCTCTTCAGTAGGCACTGTCTTTATTGGCCCTGCCCATTTGAATTTCTAGTGATTGTCAAAGAATTTTAAAACCTTCTTGGAAACATCCATAGCTTAATGCCAAAATAAAAGGCCATATTTAAGTCAGCATTAAGTTCTGCAATTTAGTGGTCATCAGGTATCAGGGAGGGAGGGAATCGGTTCCTCCTTGGCCCCACCTCTTGATCCTTTACAACGCTATGAGAGGTATGATGCCCCTTTCCCAGTGAGGTGCGAGGTGCCAGGTGCCACTAGAGCCAGGGGATGGCTGGGAAATCACTTTCTCAAATAACTTTGGCTTCACACAAACAAATAAGCACATGGAGGCTTGTGTTATTATGAAGTTTAGCTGCAGAAGTGTGCAGGTGCCAAAGGATGCAAATCATCTTACACTTTTACAGCCCAATGTCATTGGCAACAGACCTTAGAAACGAGCCATAACCTTCATTTTGCAGGAAAGGAAACAGATGCGAGAAGGTAAAAAGATTTGCTTAACTTCGATGGCAAAATTGAAATGAGAACGCAGGATTTTCACTCTTCACTTTTATTTGCAAAAATATTCTGCTTCTAAAAGAAGAGAATACTTGCTTGTTTTTTGCCCTCCTGACCCCTTTGCTTAGTTCCTCTCACCCCCAGCTACTTTTATTTCTATGCCACGAAGCCTCTGCCTGTCTTAATGTATGCAGCACCCACGTCCACAAGCTGACGTTCAGATGGGAGGTTGGGCTGTATGGACCAGACAAATGGATTAGACAGCTGATTTCTGGTTAAACCTGCCCTCTGCCCTCTTTCTAAATGTGTCTCATCCCAGGTCCTCCCCGCCCTTTATAAATATGTTGGTAGGGCAACCTCCTAGTTCTATGCCTTCACCCCCCCTTTTCATCTGAAAGGTAGCAAATCCTAGGTCACCATTACAGGCAGTGGCCTAGGTGAACATTGGGAAAGTCATCTCACGTCCCAGGCCTCACTTTCCTCATTGGTAAAATGAAAGAAGGAAAGGAGTCCACAGTTAAAGCTGGAATAAAGGTCCCTAGATCCTTCTTTAACTTCAATTTAATAAAAAATTTAGAGATGAAGTCTTGTCCGGCATTGAATTCCTGGATTCAAGTGATCTTCCCCTTTAGCCTCCCAGTAGCTGGGAATACAGGTGTGCCCCGCCATGCCTGATGAAGCTTTCTTTGCTCGAAAATCTGAACTCCACAAAGATGTTGATCTGCCCTGTAGGAACCAAGGAGCTTTTTTCATTTACCCACGATAGGTCAGCAATAGGTATTTTGCCTCCTGTTGAAAGAAGTTCTCATCATCAGTATTCACTGCATATTTTACAGGGATCAGTGCAAAATGAAATGTAGGGTCCCATGGCAGCGCCTTAAGCCAAGCACAGGTCCTGGGTGACCTCACCAGCCGTGTGCCTAGAGAGCTGCTCTGCTCAGAGCTACACCAGGGATTTGACAGACTCCAGCTGGTGCGGGAGGGAGTTAGGGCCGGGCTCATGAGAAGGGTATTCCTACTTCAGTGGCCAGGGTTCATGCTAAGATGACAATAGGCCCAGAGCCCATCTCACACCCACCCCTCTGTCGCCAGTACCTGTTTTGGAAGAAGGGCTGACTTCATTAGTGCTGGTTCTTCCATTTCTTGAGGAAAGATTACACTGTTCAATAGGGAGCTTCATGTTCCCAGAACAGATTACTGACTGTTTTGGAGTCTGCAACTGACCCCAGTGCCCCCTGCCTTTGGGGACAGAGTGGCCAAGCCACTTTCTTTTCATCCAGCCTTCCCCCTCCACTTCATAATGAACCTCTTTCATGCCTCAGATCGCCGACTCCATTCCCTGCTCATTCCCATTGGGTTGGATCCTGGGCCAAGATAAAGGAAAAGAACTCCCCTCCAATTTCCACCAGAGTCCCCCGATGTCTTAAGAAGCACATGTAGACAGAGGGGTTGTGTGGTCCTCACTTGAGTCAACTAAGAGTGGGAGATTCTCTTCTGAATTCAATTTTCAAAAGCAGATTTTCCTTTTTTTGTAGTACAAAAATGCTCTAGGCATTGCACAATTTCAGGTTTTGGATCT